ACACTGAGACCCAGGAAAGATAAGAAAATCATAACATTTTTTTGTTAGTTGTTGAAATTCCAATTTTGTTCGATGTTGTCAATAGGATAAGGGTTGCGTGTTTTGGTCCGAATCGACTCGAGCTTTCGATCGACGTTCCATAGGGTTGAATCGAACGACTTGCGCTAATAAATCAGATGGTTCTAAGCAGACCGCAATGCAGATCGATGCATTATCACACGCCACGAGCTAATCACCATTTGGTATCGTTATTACGTTGAAGGGTTGGTTGGAGTGTTGCGTTCTTGGTTGCTTTCATTCGATTTTCAATTCTCTTCGACTTTGCTCTTTGCGGTTTCCAATCAGCGGTGACCTTTAAAGAGGCCCGGTAGAAAGTTGTTCTGTTGGCCAAAGACAGGCAATTTGATGGAGCTCGATAACGAGCTGCATGGTGACATTTTAAATATGGTTTTACTCTTGGACACATACTTACGTACAGCTTTTAATCACGTTAAAAATAATCCCGGACGCACGTTCCTAGCAAATCGGGCCGTCATCATTGAACGATTACGTTGCTCAAGCGTATCACAACCATATTCACACGATCTGTGCAACAGATATCTTTCTTTTCCTAATTTAATTATGCCAGTTTAACGTTGCTGCATTTGGCCGTAAATCGGAAAGGGGTTTTTTCCTCGCAGTCAACGTGAAAAACTTTCACCGGTTTATGGTTGATTTTTTCGCCTGGGAAGTATTATGTCGAATCGAAAATAAACTCTTTTATTATCGAACGTATTTGTGCGGTTAAAGCAATTTGCCGTCTTGGCGACAAACGCTTAACGCCAAGTTCGCTTTTTTTCGAACACGGGAATTGTGATTGTGCGGTCGACAAAAAAATCCATAATTAATTGCATTTGAGGGCATTTGTGTTAATTCCAACCATTCACTCGCCTGAAATAAACGTGCTTTTTGTCGTTATTAATTACATTTGACGATTGAAAAACTTGTTGTCTAACACCGTTCCTAAAGGAAAAAACGCAACTTCTCATTGCACGCCTGACGGAAAACTCGAAATTCTCAATTCAAATCGTTATTAGCAATGCCAGTAATTAAGTGTGTATTGAAAATAGCGACGTTTCCCTCAAGCTGTTGTTGCGACTTTTCAGCAGAAAGGACAAACCAATTCTCCAATTATACCAAAATTCTTTAAGTTACTATTGTTTACTGCAAATGAACTACACCCTGTACGCTTGAAAATACCGATTAATATTATACATACGAAATGGTCCTGAAAGCTTTAACTTGTAACCGTTTTTATCAGTTTATTGGAAGTTATTGCATCCATTAAGCGCCACATGAACCATTTGTGCATGTAACTTTCAGTTAACCCAATAATCCCGGTTTAAATTCAAACCTTCGTTAATCGGCTGCTATCAGGGATAATTCCGGAATCATTTAAATTTGTTTAAATTACATCGATCCAACTTGTCCCGCGACCTCTGAAGAGCGAACATTTTTTCATAGGCTGAGTTTCAGCTTAAATATGTATATAGGGTGATTCAAAATTGGAGGTGTTTTTGACAAATGCTTGTCATTATTGACAAATGCTGTCTCTACCTGTCACTATCTGTTAATGACAAAAAACATCATTGCCGCTTTGACTTTTGATCAAAAAATTGTAGAAGAGTACTTTGTTAATATCAAAAATTTTCATAATTTGACAAAAAGATCGTAATATGTCTTTTCGAATCTTTAAGTATTCCAATAGGCTCCCAATCAAACGTGGGACCTTTTCAAAAAAATGCCTAATAACAAAGTTAAAATTCGATCTTCAACTGTTAATATGTTCTTGACAATTGCGAAAAAAAATGTTTGAATATTTTTCTCGTACTCTCTAATGTACCCTTAAAAGGAATGACGCCAATTTTGAATCACCCTGTATACTGAAAGCGTTGAACTGAAAGATGTCGGATGATTTAGATATGATTTCGATTCGTTTTGTGCATTAGGCTCCATAGGGAACTGCAAATTAATATCTTCACTATGGCCGAACGGGCATCATTAGGCGATAGTCGAGAGCTGGAAAGCGGCAACAACAAAGCCGATTCGCCTATTTAGGCAGTTAATTCGCTCGTATTTGGACCCCATAATCAACGCTTTGTCCATTACGAATCAGCCCGTGGAAATGTCG